TGGACTATGGCCTTAGTATTAATCACGTCCCTCTTCGTTGTGATAATACTAGCGCCATAAGCTTGACGAAGAACCCCGTTCTTCACTCAAGGACAAAACACATTGACATTAGGCATCATTTCATTAGAGATCATGTTCTCAAAGGTGATGTCGAAATTGAGTTTGTTGAAACACACAATCAATTAGCCGACATTTTCACAAAACCTTTAGAGAAAGAGTCGTTCTTCCGCATTCGAAGTGAACTCGGAATCCTTGACTCCACGATGATCTAAGTTTTGAATCTAAATTTATTAAACACTTACTAACTTGAGCGTCGGAGAACTTTTTCTTTTTTGCAGGTACCCCGTTCATAAAATCAGGGGGAACCATGAAAACAGCGTTGTCCAGGAGACACAACAGCGCTGTTGAGGGAAACACCGCCAACCAGAAAGTTTTCCAACAGCGCTGTCCATCAACCCAACAGCGCTGTCCCAGGGAGTCCCTTACACCTTCACTTTCCAGAAACTTTCTGAACATCAATGTTCCCTTTTGAACATCGCTGTCTTCCCAAAACTTTTTGTTTTCAACCAAAACCAGAAACCTTTTAAACAGCGATGTCTTACCTTCAACATCGATGTCCATTTTTACAAATTTTTTTTCCAATCGCATAACAGCGATGTAGGATAACCCAACAGCGCTGTCCTAATGGGTTTACACCCTTACACAATTCCAGAAACTTTTGGAACATCGCTGTAGGGTACTCAACATCGTTGTCCTTTTGACTCTTGTTTTTTAAAAACTTGACGCAGAACAGCGCTGTACAAGGACCAACAGCGCTGTCCCAACAGCGATGTCCCCTGTAGAACATCGCTGTTCTGGTCAAAACTTTCAAAAAAAAAAAATCCGTTGGCTGCAGCATTAACTCCTCCAACAGCCATAATTTTGAAAATCAGGCCGTTGGACACCAACTTTCGTATAAATTGGGACCCCTCTCTTCACTTTTACACACACAAACACAAATTCCTTCAATATCTTCACATATTTCATCCTCTCTACTCTAATTTTTTGAGTTTTCTTCACAATGGGCAAAGACAAGAACAGGGCAGGCACCTCCGGAAAATCCAAGTCCAAATCCCGGGCTCCATCCACGACCTTCAAGGAACGCCTCTACTACGGCGATGGATCGTACCTCTGGTTCGATTCCGAGGAGGAGCGCACCCGATTTCTCACCTTTTTCTCCAAACGGGTTGTGGCTCCCCCACGAATCATCCCAGAGCGCTACCCGGAATTGCAGGGCTACGACGACCTCGACGCGCAGCTTCATCAAGCCGGCCTTTGGCAGTTCGTCTCCCGGGCGCGCAAGGAGATCAACCCGGCGCTGATCCGGGCCTTCTACTCCAATCTCCGGCGTGAGGACGACGTGCTCTACTCGCTCGTCAAGAGCACGCCGATCGAGCTCACCGTGGAGCAGCTTGGGCGCATCGCCGGCCTCCCCTTCCAAGGCGACGATGTGTCTCACTATGGTGGCGAGGATTGGGTGCTCAACAACGAGGGCCTTATCCTCAACGAGCTTGGCATCACCGAGCTCAAACGCCATGCCTCGGGACGCCCAACCATCCACTCCGCCAACCCCGANCAACTCCTACTCTTTCATTGCAAATCATTCTTTAATTATTCATAGCTTTTGAGAGCCATTTTTGTGAAGCTTGTGTCGTGTTCTTGAGCGTTCTTAGTTTACTCAATATCCACTCTAAAAAGAGAGTATTGTTCTTGAGTGTTTTTAGTGTTCTTAGACACTTGACAAGAGAAGGTATTTCTCTTGTTGTTCGAAGGAAGGGTTGTTTCCTTCGAAGGTTCGTTGAGAATCGTGTGACTCGAACTCTCAAGTTGTACGGGTTTGTTAAGCACCGTTAAGCTTAACGAGATAGTAGTGTAGCTCGAGAGAGTCTCTCGGGAGGCTGGATTAGCCACAAGTTGTGGTGAACCAGGGTAAAATTGGTGTGCCTCTTTCTTTTCTCTTTATTTCTCACTTATTCATTTTTATTCCTGCGATTTCTTGATCAAACGCTATTCACCCCCCTCTAGCGTTGGTCTATTATTCTAACACTCACTAGCTCATAACTTCATACAATATCATGCACACAAGTATACAGTATAATATCACATAATAGTCATTAAATAAATTCACAATTTATAATTCATTACCTTATCCGTCCTTATTTATAGCACATAACATAATTACTAGCTATGACCATACTTCCTTATTTATAACCTTATTTTCGGACTTAGAGCCACTACCTACGACCATGACTCAAGTCTACCTTATTCAACACCTTATGACACAACACAACTTGATGACCAATGAAAGAATTCTCTGCTGGGTGGATGGTACCCTTGTCCCCTTTGGAACGACAGTTTGTGGATCCCGTACGTACATTTTAACCCGCAGCCGCCAGATATCAGATCCACATGGCTGATTCTATCAATTGACATTTTACATTTACAATCTTCTTAAGGCTGTCCTAGAGTTCCCCTAGGTAGCCTAATCATTTATTTACAACATCGATCTCTACAATTCAGACTAATTCCAACATCAATCTCAATTCCTTATTTACTTCTAAACACAATTGGATTATATTTAATTATAACAAGAAATATAACATTAATCACTTGATAAATCATACAACTCAATTAGCGGCCTAGTGTCGGGTATGCAAATTACACAAATTTGTAAGAAAACATACCTGGTCATCTTTGTTCAATCAACTCCAATAATATCATATAATATAACTAAATCATAATTTAATTATAACCAAATTAACCACATAATCAATCATACGAAACTACGAACTTGAATTTCAAATCTATATACATAATCTAGCGTTAGATGTCCACGTACTCACCTCGATTGACTGACGAATTAAACGAATTAAACAGATGAAGAAGACGTACAGCGGCGGCCGTCCGTTCCCTGGCGACCACGGGCAGCGGCGATGGTGTGCAGGCCGACAGCGATCGCGCCGTGCTCCGCATCTGTTCTGCGGCTGCGCTCTGCTCTTTTGTCCGTTCCTTTTGTCTTTTTACTCGGTATATTTCTTTCCTTCTGTTGTTGCTTTGGGAGTGTGTGCGTGTGTATTATACGGAGTATAAAGTAAGGGGGGAAGGGTTCCGTGTTCTTCTTTGGGCAGGAGTAGGAGTAGTTTTAAGAAATACGGAGTATAATTATTGTAATTATTATTTTGTTATAAATTCTTTATATTTATTTATTAAATTGTAATGTCTATTTTTCTCATCACGTTTTACATGTATTTTCAAATTTAACAAACTTTATACCGTTGGTCACCATTTCATGAGACCTACCCGAAAATATAATTTTTAATTAAAACAGACAACTTTACAAATAATTCATATTTTTGAGTAAATAAATTTAATATTTATTTTTTTATTAAAATAACGGCTAACTACTAAGCCGGTTTTCGAGTCGTTACATTTCTCTCCCCCTTAAAAAAGAATTTCGTCCCCGAAATTCTTCTAAGGTATAAAATTAAATTAATAAGTGCATTTCAATTTTTTTGTTCAATAATAGTACCTTTTTTTGCAAAAGAGATCATTTAAACCCTTAGCTAAATGTTTTTCTAATTCAAATGTTTTGAATCGAAATTACTACATTATTTTTTTTCTTAGCAGTTAAAACGACAACCAAATATTTTTTTCATATCAAGACTAAACAATTTAAGTCAATTATTTTCTTTTTTTAAATACCAACTACTATACTTTTTTGTTAAGCAAATATTTAGAGATGCTAAATCCGAAAATAACAAGCTTTTTTACTGTCAGCCAATATCCAACGGCTAAATTTCAAACAGGACCTTCTTCTCCCTATACCGACTACCTGCATACAAAAACTATCTTTCCATTCACTTTTAACACAGTCAAACCCTATATAAATTGTGAGGGCCTACTTTTGTTGCTCATTTGATAAAATGTATAATCATGTCACCTCTACTTTTGTAGAACTTTTGATATATTTTTAAATATATAATTTTAATATTGAAATTCCACCATTTTTCATTTAAAAATGATTTGAAAATAACTTTCTCAAACATTGATATCATAACGCGCAACGGGAAGAAATTTTTTGGATAGAGATTAGAGAGTGTATTAAAATTTAAAGAAAATCTATTAAATAGGAATAAATCATGAGACATATCTTCTAAATAGGAGTACCCAAAATAGGAGTAATTAATAAAACTCCCCATACCGCTCCCCTTCTTCTCCCAATCCCTAGCCGATCCTTCCCTATCATTCTTCCTTCCTTGTCATTCTTCCTTCTACTTAGGTTGGAGAATTGGAAATACACATTGTGTTCAACTTTGGTCATATATGTGCTTTGAAGTTGTCTTTTTTCCCATAACACCTGTGTAAAGATATAACTTTTTTTAAAATCAAAACAAAGGCAAACTTTTATCTTTTCTTCTCACAGCATTTGTGTTGTGATGTGGCTTTTATAAAACCAAAATAGTTAGGTAATTTTAAATATTGTGTGGAGTAAATTATTAGCATTATTGTTTTTTAGATTGTTGTTGTTGGCATTGTGTTATAAAAGTTGGCATTGTATGTTGGCAAATCGCAGTATTTCTTGACACTTTACAATATTTATGGCATTATATATTGACATATTTAATAATATCTAGTGACATGTTTGTTATTTTATGTTGCAATCTTTGACATTGTTGCTTCGGTTGACATTGTATAGATACTTCTTTTTTACAGTAATTTGTGGCATTATGACACTTAGGCAGCGGCGATTGCAGATCGTTATGGTGTCAGCGGTGATGAAGCAGAATTGGTGGCGTTGGTAGCGACGTGAAAAATCACCGCGAAGGGTACATTGTTGTGTCGGGGCACGACGGCGACAGGGATCAACAACCCGATTTTTTTGTTTTAGGGATGTACTCAGTAAGTTATTTTTGTTTATCTTTTTTATTTTTTCCTTTTTATTTTTTTTCTCTTTATGTTGGCCAAAACATAGCCTTGCAAGAAAACACTTACTAATGAGTGTCTTTGATGTCTACCCGCAACAAAACAAGGAGAACGCATGTCTGTAAGCTTTAGGAAATGAATTTAGTTTAATAGGGAGCATTTAAATAACTCCTATTTTGGGGAGTTTTCTTTTCTACTCTTATTTTGGCATATTATCTATGTTTTGCTCCTATTTTGCTGCTTAACCCTAAAATTTACTTTTTTCATAAGTATCTAAGGTGAAAATGCAAAAATATCTGGAACATGAGGGTAGAAAATGAATTACCAATAAGCTTAAACAAAAGTGCAACCTCAGGCATAGTACATCATTTGGAAAAGTTATGGGAAAATAGTTACAATTGTCTTGGTCACCATGGACGAGCTAGGATTCATTGAGAAATCAAGCGTTGGAATCATTGGGGGAAGTGAATTGACCACAGTACTCACTAGTGAAAGTGGTGGAGTTCAACTGAAGCGTGTATAGGTCCGACAGCCCATCTCGACCGTTTATTTGATCAACCATTGTCCCATCATACGGCACTTGGGATGTACGACTCCATGGCTCTTTGTTGAACGTCCTCAACAACCTCTCAAGATCCATAACCACTTCCCTCATCGTAGGCCTATCTTCGCCATTCAAGTGGAGGCAACGCTTCGCAACCTCTGCAACACACTCCACTTGTTCCAATGCCCCTTCCCTTAAAACCCGACGATCCAAAATTTCGAACAATTGATTCTTGCTCATGGAGATCACCAAATGGGATGCCAGATTCGCATCCTCCTCGCTTCTCTCCCTAGACACCGGCTTCATCCCGGTTAGAAGTTCACAGAGAACCACTCCGAAACTGTACACATCACTCTTTGCAGTCAGCTGGCCTGTTCTGAAGTACTCTGGGTCCAAATACCCAAATGTCCCTTGGACCAATGTGGCTATGTGCGTTTGGTCCAAAGGGATTAATCTAGATGCGCCAAAGTCCGCCACTTTGGCTACATAGTTATCGTCTAACAATATATTGGCCGACTTTACGTCTCGATGGAATATGGGCATCGCCGTGGATGAATGGAGGTAGGCGAGTGCGCCGGCTGTTTCAGTAGCTATTCGTAAACGATTTTGCCAAGACAACCAAGTTGAGGAAGAGGAGCCATCATGTTTGTGGATGTGATCGTAAAGAGTCCCATGGGAGACGTACTCGTAGACTAACAAAGGAACTTCAGCCTCCAGACAACAACCTATGAGTTTGACCACATTACGATGGTTGATTTGAGTTAGGATGACAACCTCGTTGATGAACTCCTCGATTTTGCTCTCGTCCATTGTCTTGGATTTCTTAATGGCCACGACAAGGTTGTCCTGTAGGATTCCTTTGTAAACGACGCCGTTTCCCCCTCGGCCGAGTTCCCGGTCACTCGAGTAATTGTTGGTGGCTTTCTGCAGCTCCTCGGCGGAGAAGATTTTAGCCGCTTCTACACCGCCGCTGCTGTCTGATGCAGTGGCTATTCTCTGTTTCAAGATCAAACCACCATTTTGTTGGAAGAATTTTTCTCGAAGTTTGATGAGTCTTCTTTTGTTGATGAATAAGTATAGCCATGTTACTCCGCCAACCACGGACAAAAAGCCTAACCCCAGACCTGTATTTTTGGCGTGGTTCAATCACAAAATTCGGGGGGAAATCATAGAATTTTAAAATTTGCGAAATTGGTACTATATTTTTTTGTAAAAAAAAGGTAATGTGTAGTAAATAATTACCAATAGAAAACTTGATCCATGGGAAATTCGAATGAGTTTCAACACAACCATGTCCATTCTTTTTACCATCACCAGTGTACCCATCCGGACAAGAGCACGTATATCTTCCAGGCGTGTTTGTGCATATCTTTTCACACGGATTATCATTTGGATTTTCACACTCGTTCACATCTATAAAAAAAAACACCAAATAGCTAACTATTAAAGACTTTAAACCATCCAAACACATCAGCCCATTCCAATAGCTTCTACACACCAAATAATAAGTAAACTAAATGATGATACTGAAATTCAATTATGTACCTTGGCAGCCATGAGGAATATAGGGATTCCCTTCGTAGCCATCGTCGCACTTGCAACGGTAACCTCCAGTATCATTGTCCATATCAACGCAATGGCTTTTCCCCAAGCACGCATAGTCCTCCCTCTTTCTTGCTCCCTCACACGTCAGGTTTCCGATCGCCCAGTCCAGCACGACGGGTACGCTAGCCGACACCCGCCGGCCGAAATTCAGATCTCTCAGGTCATCCAATCCGCGGAATTGGAACCCGCCCTCTTCCCCGAGGAAGGCGTACCCGCACGGGTTACTTGACCACATTCGGGCGTGCCCGGCCGATGTGACCATCGTGCTCACGTTCAGAAACCTCAGCCCCTTTGGGATTGAGAATTGACAGCACCCCGCAGAACCATCACAGGTTCCGGCGTGCACTGCCTCTGGCTTTGCACACGCCACGGGGCAGCCTTTGGCGAAGGTTTTCCCGGTCAGGGGGTTGCTGCCCGACAGGACCGCCGCGTCGTCGCACCCGATGACGGTGAACCTGTTTCTGTCGGAGAAAGTGTACGGGCTCGATTTGCCGAGGTTGGTCCGGTACAGAAACTGCCCGAGAAGGGCCCCGGTAGGGGAATAGCATTTGGCGGAGACGGAGGTGGAGACCCGAACTTGTGAGTCGGAGATGTCGTAAACTTTTAGGTTCCATATCAAAGGAGTCGGGGGATTATTGGTGGAGGAGGATTTGTTGCAGTTGATTTCGAAGCTCGGGTTTAGAGCGCAACCCGATCCGAGACCGACACCGAACGGGTAGGGGACGGTCAGGTTTCCGCATTTTTGCGGGCAGCCGGGCTTCGTGATGGGAGAAGTGGTTGTGGTCGGAGTTTGGGCGGCGGCGGGTGAATGTACCGGCGGGAGAATGGGAGCAACAAGTTGGAGGAGAAGCACAGCCAAGTAAATGTGGGGGCGCATTGTTTGCTCCATGATTATTTTTTTCTCTACGGTAGTCTGTCTATATTGGCGTCAAGTTTATTGTTGACTTTGTTTCATTTATAAAAGGCTTACTCTGACTTTGGGTTTGTCTGACTTTTAATGGGAAATGGAGATAAAAGTGGGCAAAATGGCTGATACGTCCTTAGTATTTACTCTCTAGCTCCCATGTCTTTATTAAATGCTTGGCTCAAGACCAAAAGTGGAGAACTCATAAACGGAAATTCAAATGGATAATTTATCTAAATAGGACTAAAACATAATGACTTTCTCAATATAGGATCATATGTTTTTATTTTCCAATGTATGACTATTGTTCATTATCTATTAGTCATTATTCAACTAAATGTCCAGCATCACTTAGACATTATTTTTCTCACTAGTCATTATTAAGTCCTATTTAGAAAATAAAAAAGTTTAAGTACTATATTAGGAAATGACTTATGTTTTAGTCCTATTCAGTGCAAATTTTAAATTCAAATAGTACTTCTTTCTCTGGGTGATTCCATTCATATGACCGAGTGGAAAACCTAATAGATATAAATTTAAAGTTGACTGAATCAACACAGAAATATCTTCTCGTATAGAGAGGATAGACTGTGTTTTTGAGCGGAAAGTTGGTCTAGATCAGAATTTTGATAGGGATAAGCGTAAGATTAACCAAGCCAACGATTTATGTCTAGCATCCTATGGAGAATATACGTCACGCCAAGCCTTAATTGAGATGCGAGTATGCGACATCCAGGCCAAGGACATATGGTACATAAGAGATTTGTATCGTGTGGAGAGCATGTAACTTTGGGATGTGGATGTAACTCGGCTTACGGCTATAGCCTAGGTGTGGGGTTGTCAATCCCATTGATAAGCGAGCAACAACTTCGAGGACAACACGTGATGAGATTTTGGCAGACCACCAGGGGCGAACAATTGATGATGTAACATTGAAGTCAAAGAATACAATCTAATAGTTAGAAGCCAAGGTGGCTAGTCAATCAAGGATATGGAAGGATCCATCACGTGGCTACAGTAGACATCACAAGTTTACAGTAGCTATCATAGTTTTTGCCTATAGATAAGAATGCATTTCTCTCAAGGAAGGGGATTTTGAATTCTAATATTTCATAGCACTAAACTCTCCCGATGCTTTCTCTCTACAAAATGTTACGAGATCAGCTACAAATACTATTACCTACAAACTTTTCAATGACTATTATGTTTACTTTTAGTTACTGGTTTTGTGACTTAACTTTTTATCATAGCCCATTGAAGGGCAATAAGCCCGATCTGGCTAATTTAAACTATTTGATAAAAAAATTAAAGTTTGACCATGTAAAAATGCAACTTAAATTATAACGGAAAAAATATTGTTTAGTTCCAATTTCACTTTAAAGTAAAGATAGAAAATACTACCTCAAACATGCAAAGGATTTCAAGCTTTAACTTATCAAAATTTTAGAAAAATTCTAAAAACTGAAAACAAATGTGAGTAAAATTTACTCATTCTAAAAGCTAAATATGGTAAGACACATTTTTTTTTTCTATAAAAACAATAGGAAAGTGTGAATTTATTTTAGGACAAAAACTAAGGGGAGTGTGAAAGTTAAAGGATGCACAACTGCACAAGTATAATAAAGCACGTACTACCTTCGTTCCATTTTGTTCGTTCCATTTGACTTATTTTTTACTATCGGACAAACTTTGATCATCAATTAAAATTACATCATGCAGTAATATTGTAAAATAATTTTGACATTTTTTTGCTAGATAAACTAATAATATCAATTTTCTTATTAATAGAAAATACAATTCTTTAACATCCGGGTAACAACTAGTATTGTTTAGCTAAAACGGTCCACGAGGGGCAGCTGCGTGATGGTTGATGAGGAGCAACAATGAAGAAAACTAGCCCTACTTTGAACAACTTAATGCACGCACCATCAAAAGGTAAGCAAACGAGCGTCATGAATTGGCTCCATTTCCATGGCTCCCTATTTGAATTGGCTCCAATCGTTCCCATTTTGTTGTTGTTTGGAGCGTACAAAACTCAATGACTAGTTGCTAATGCGGTAACTAAGAGACCGAGTACAAGAAATGGTTGTGCACTCGCCTGCAACAAAACAACGTGGGGTAAGTTCTATTAGAGTATAAAACCTTTCAAGTGCCTGCAATCACAAGATTGAACTTTTGGTTGATTTGGTTTTTTGATAGAGTATCAGAGTCTTGCAAGCCTACAGGCCACAAGTTTGAACCACACGTACAAGGCTCGACCAAGAACAATTCTCGCCTGCTAAATAGCCACATTGCAAGCAGGTTTTCTTCCTTTTTCTTATGCAAACAAAATGCTGAAATGTTTATACGTTTACTTGCAGTGAGAAGAAAAAAATGTGTACCTGATACTTTACGTCATATTTAATAGGGTCTTGTAATAAGTATTTGAACTGCAACATCAAACCAATAAGTGTCGGTGAGAGTAAAAAAAGAGGCCCAAGAGCAAAAAACGACAAACATTATTTAGGAAAAATAGACTTCCTCCACAGTGTAATTTGACGTAAAGGGACAGAGGCAGTACAGTTTACCTGGAAAAATATTTGTGGTATGGTTAAACCAAGGAGCGATAATGCATAATATGGTTTCCCAACTCCAAGAAGATAGCCTGCAAAGAATGTTTGGTGAGCATAATAGGAGAAGAAGGCAAAAAATATGTTGCATAAGTTGCTATCCAGTACCAGCCACAGATAGTTGGGTTAAATCGATGGCACCAATGCAAATCCATTTAGCAGCTTCAGGCCCAAACGCTACAGGAATTGACTGATAATGTACGAACAAGATATGAAGGTCAAAACCGTTGTTAGATAAATAACTTCAAGCATTTAATGTCATAAAGAACCTGAAGTCCCATGGCTCTATCTCCTTCAATGCTCTTGAAGTCATTCACAATTGCTATGCCAAGCTGAAATGGATGGTTGCACAGTTCATTACGTGTTGTATTTTTTGTGTATCGAATTTTCTGCTTAAAATGTGATGAAAAAAATGTTCCATGTTACCCCTGCAATGCTATAGAATAGTGTAAGAACAACAGTGTCTGGTGTAAGGGTTCCAAACAAAGCTTGAGCTGCCCACCTGTATTACCGAAAAATTGAAAGAGTTGTGCCAAGATAGCTAAGATGCTAAGTACAAAAAAAGTGTTCCATGAGTCGAATTGAGTAAACGATTGAATCCAACGAACAAAACTCGTAGCATTATAAACTCATTATTTCTCTTGTATTTTTTTGGATGTGCAACTCATTTTTACACGTACTAAAAAAAAGGTTCTCTTTCTATGCAAAATACATGTAGTATAGAAGCATACCAGGGCAAACTGATGTAGCTCGACCCTAGAGCAAAGTTGCCTACCCATCCATTTTGTTTGAGCTGCATAGCAGAATATTTGAAACTTTGGGCTCGAGGCTTAAGCAATCTTGATATTTAACAGTAAATGAAATAAATGAGAGAACTATACCTTCAACGGTGGAGCTGAGTATATGTAGGACAGAAAGGACCCACCAAGAGCAAGGTAAAATATAACCGGAAAATTATGTCCAGCCTACAAGGAGACACTTCTCAGTATGTTCCAGGGGAGATTAAAGAAAATTAAGCAACTTTTAAGACCACCTACCCACACATCCAACAAACCGGCCAATCCAAGGCCTCCTAAAAGCAGCACCCATATTTGTGTGATAACCTGTGGAAAGCAACCATCCTCAGAGTGAAAACAAGAAATATGAATGCACATGGTTTTGGGAAGTAATGATGATGAAAGTATTGAATATATATATGGAGTAAATCAAAGGGGAACCTCATTCTCAGATATTGCCCCCGAGGGAATTGGACGGTATGGCTCATTAATAGCATCAATTTCTCTATCATACCAGTCATTAAGTGTCTAATAGTTTCGAACAGAACTATCATGGTTAGATTTATGGAGTGATGTTTCATATCAAAAATCACCATTGCAGCAGCAAAGAGCTCACTTACCTGTGTAAAGCCCGTAAGGAAAGGACCAGACATTAGCATACAAGCAACCGATTTGGCTACATCATCAGGCGTCCAATGGAAATTCCCTTTAAGAAGTGTTCCATAATAATCAATGAGTGATACAGAACGGATAATGATAGAATTTAGGATGGGGTAAGGATTATTGGACTGGGTCATAAGACACTTGTGGTGAAATTATATTAAAAGATTTAATCCAATCGATTACTTAGTTCAACTCAAGATCTTATATACCTATTTAATTTCTCTTGAAGTTCCGATGTGGGAAACTCTTTAACAGATAATGTTAAAAATACTATTTGAGGAAATATTTTGTACATTTCTGAATGAATGTTAGCAACACTCTCTCTGTTCCATTAAAAGGCTCCGCATTACTTTTTTTTGTCTATGCGGAGCACAAAAAAGGATCCGCTTTCCATTTTTTGAAAAAAATTTGTGGCTCATATTATTTCTCTCTCCTCCACACTACTTTCAACCACATAACTTCACATATCTTAAGAATCATGCCGATTCCATTGTGGAACCCTTTTGGGGGAAGTAGAGAGTACAAGGCTGCTATATGTTCGGAACTTCGGATAACCCACAACTCAGGCAGTTCTCAATGAAGAAGATCTCTTGCGATGATAAAATAAGGAAACATAATAATACTTATTACAGAAATATTCACAAATTATTACGGAAATATACTTCCATTAATAGATAATAGCTATCTATCAAACCGTGAGCTTCACCAACAAAAGGAATAAATGGACTTCTTCACCACCTAACAATCAACTCTTGAGAGAACGCACAAAGGATGTACCTGAAGCAGCAGCACCACACACCACACCCCAGATAAGAGGAGGCCAAGTGACAGGCTTAGTTAGTTGTACACGAATCTTCCATGTGTCCTGTAAAGGAGCAGATTATGAAATGTCAAATTACTAACCTTCTAGCTTTCTCTATAACTTCATCATTTGTTTTTTTAACCTTCTAACTGCCAATCCGGATGGAGATGCTAAAAATCAGACAAGTGAAAGTATAAATTTTGTTCTTTTATGCAGCACGGATCTCAAATTCTTAATTGTTGTCATTGTATGCGAGCATTGACAAAATCCATTTGTGAGAAAAAAGACCTTATGAATATGTCAGATCATATCAAAAGTGCTAAAGCAGACTGCTTCAAGTCAAAAATTACATCTCTACATGACATATTTCAATGCTGACATGGCAAAAAATAATGTTATGTTTGGAATGCATATTTTCCACCAGCATACTATGAAATGGAGCTTCTAATATGGAATACACCAAACATCTAATCCTCAAGGGCTTGTTCGCAAAGATATTAACATGGCAGAATTCGATGGTGTAAAAACCGGCATAGGTGGCAGCCTAGAGAATAGGCGCCCTTAGGCAAAAGCAAAAGCATGAAAATCATCATTGTTTTGGGTACTAGGCCGACTCTCCAAAAAACCTTAAAGTCTAAAACAGGCATTTTGATGGTGAACAGTGAACACTCCACTTTTTCTTTACTTCTATAGAAACACCAGACATTTAATTAGAATAGCTTATCTAAAACAAAGGTTTTTAAAGGTAGCTCCTACATGTTAGATGCTGAATGCTTAATGTGGCAATTCCATCACATAAACTTCATCACACTTTATGAGCAATCTCCATTGGTTTCAAAATTAGAAGTTACAAGTGCTAAAATTAGTTATATGATCATTTTTTAAACCCAGTGCTAAAATAGTTCTAAAAGTGAGGCTTGATGGGAAAAAATACAAAAAATTGCTGCTGGGTACCCTCTATTTTTTGATAAGAACTGCCAGGTCCCATTATTTTTCTAAATATACTCCGGGGTACCTTAAATTATCTAAAAAATTACTGAGGGGTGACAATCCGTCCATGTCTCCGTTAGTTTCTCTCACCGTTACCTTTTTCTTCTTCTTTCCTTTTTTTTTTCTTTCTTTCTCCCTCTCTTTCTTTTTTTTTTCTCTCTTTCCAATTCCGATTAGCCCCCCCCCACCCAAATCCCTCCCCCCTTTTTTTCTTCCTCTATTATTTCTTTTCTTCTTCTTCTTCTATTATTATTATTATTACTATTATTATTATTATTATTACTATTAATTTTTAGTTGGAAAAATAGCACTTTTTATAAAAAAACACTTATTATTAATACTATTATTTATTAAAAACAATTAATTAGTAATTTTACTACTTCACTCTTTTATAAAAATAACATTACTTATTAGTATTACTTTGTATTAATTATTATTTATTTCTTATTGTTTTATTTTTCTTCTATTTTTTAATCTATTATTATTATTAAAAGTTAATTACTACCTCCGTCCCAGAGTATTTGTCCACTTTCATTTTTACACACCATCCAATGCACTTCTTTAATCCATTTTATCTTGTAATTTGTATATTAAAAAATTATAGAAAATATATATTAATAACCTGTATGTTAAGACAAATCAAACAAGATCGCACATGACTATATTTAGGCTTACACATTGAGAGAATTTGATTACTCAAAGTACTTAGATGAACAGTTCCAAAAGTCAAAACTGGACGAATACTCCGGAACGGAGAGAGTAGTAGTTTTCTCCCCCTTTATTTCGTCCACTTTTGACTTTTGGAACTGTTCATCTAAGTACTTTGAGTAATCAAATTCTCTCAATGTGTAAGCCTAAATATAGTTAAGTGTGATCTTGTTTGATTTGTCTTAACATACAGATTATTAATATATAATTTCTATAATTTTTTAATATACAAATTACAAGATAAAATGGATTAAAGAAGTGCATTGGATGGTGTGTAAAAATGAAAGTGGACAAATACTCTGGGACGGAGGTAGTAATTAACTTTTAATAATAATAATAGATTAAAAAATAGAAGAAAAATAAAACAATTAGAAATAAATAATAATTAATAC